TAGGGTCACGGGTCATAAAAAGTAAAAAATCTCTGTTTGGTTAAAATAACACCTGTTCAAGAGTGTGAGTTATCTTTTTACTTCTAAAGTGTGTGTGTGTGTGTGTGTGTGTGTGTGTGTGTGTGTGTGTGTGTGTGTGTGTGTGTGTGTGTGTGTGTGTGTGTGTGTGTGTGTGTGTGTGTGTGTGTGTTTGGGGGGTGGTGTGTGTGTGTGTGTGTGTGTGTGTGGGGGGGGGGGGGGGACGACAGTGACACGTGGTCAGAGAACAAAGAAACAGAAACCCAAAAAGATCCCAAAGCTGGAGCTGATTTTGAAAAGGTTTTTAATAATAACAGATTAATTATTCTCCCACAGCGAGAACTTTGATCTGAAATCTGGATCAAGAGCTCGTTTGATCAAAGAAAACTTTGTCTTTAGTGCAGCCGAGATCTTTAAGAGTTTAAATGTTGAAAAAGATTTTAAGAAGGAAAATGAACCATTATGGTTTGTTGAAACAAGATAAAAACAAGAAGAGAAATGTTTTTGAACTGGTGTGCATTTTAAAATCTCAAACCAATAAAAAAAAAACTTTTAATGTCAATGTTATAATCAGGTTATTTTCTTTATTCATTTTTTCACACAAATGACAAATAAATAATTAACTGAGTGCTATTGGCCAGAAACTTAAAAAATACACATTTTACACACACAGAAAGAACATTCATTTTTTGTGTAATTGTTTTTTAATTCTTTAGCTTTTTTGCTCATTCTAATTGAGAATAAACACCAACTAATTTCAATCAAATTAAACTTGAGAAAATAATGTTTTGAAATTACTCTCAATCACATTTTATTCTGAGTTTTTTTCTTTTTTATATTATTTTACCTGAAGAAATCTTAAAAAAATGAACAGAAAATCATTTAAAAAGCCTTCCCTACAGTATAATTTGAGTTACTTTAAAAAATGTACGTAAATATACATAATAAATAAAACCCAAACATAGTTTCAATAAAGGAATTTCCACAGTTTTCTGATGTTTGCAAGGATATATTTTCATGATTCACAAAGTTTTAGTGAGCATTTTTGTCAGAAGATTTAAACGACTAATCACATAAACAGAGCTAAACACTTTTCATAAAAGTCTCGTTATTTGTGAAATAGAAACTTTTAACTCCCACTTTCCTCCCTCCCTAACATGGCCGATCTGTTGCCAGATCACTGCTACAAACCACGACACAATGGATTTAAATCAGTTTGTTTACTGGATTTAATAGTTTCTGTCTTCTTGGTCTGATAAACATTTCTTTGTGATCTTCAGGAGCGAGACTGAGGAATGGATCGGATGTTGCGTCTTGATTGGTTAGGTCTGAAACAGCAACAGTGATTTGGAAGAAATGTTGATCTATAAAAGACAAAAGTGTTATTATTGTTATTAGTTTAATCGTGTATGCATTAGTGAATCATCTACTGCCTCAGCTGCCCGGGGTAAAAATGAGCTTCTCTCAAAAAAAAAAAAAAAAAAACACTCAGAGGGCCACAAATGGCCCCCAAGCCTCACTACGGACGCAGGCATGGACCTCTTGAACGATTACTAAACGGAAACAGGAACCAAGTTCCATTAAACAGGATCAGGACCAGATTAGCAGACTGAGATGTTATTGATTAGTTGAAAACAAATTAATTCAATCATCCTCTGAACCAGTGAGAGCTTCAACACCATCAGACTTATCAGGGGAGGAGTCACACCCCCATGAGTTTTTGTTTTTTTACTGGGCCATCCAGGTTCAGACCAGTTTAAACCAGTCTGAGGAAGAGGAGGGTGAGACAATAGTGTCCCTTTATCCACCGGAGTTTCAGTGGGGGAGTTCAGGATCTCTCAGCCTTAAACCCAACAAATTTACTCTCTTTGATCATGAAAATATATCAGATTACACTTTAGATTACAGCTGGGATTAGATCTTATTAGACTCTAGACTGGACTTTGCTGAACATTTTTGTTCAGATTTTAAAAGTTTGGTTTATCACTAATTAAATCAGGTGACAACAGAGACCAGATCTGAACAACAGTGTATTTTGGTGTTAATGAAGTCAGATCTCGCAAGTTTACGTCGACCTCCATGAATAATGAATAAGATAACGAATCTCCTGCTGACCACTCAGAAAAGTTTCTGGTCTTCCAGCAGGTAAACAAAACCAGTCAAAGCAGGTTTGCGCATCATCAAAAGGTCATAATTTAATAGCAGTATTCTGGGTTATTTTGCCCACCATGAGCTAAGTATTTAATTTAGAGATAAATATTTATTTTACAGGCTAAATATTTAGGTCAGACCTAAAAATTTTGCTTGTAAACTAGATATTTACTTAACTAACTAAATATTTAATTTGAAAAATATTTAAATGTTAAACTTCAAAAATATTTATTTAGATTCCAGCTACTTTTATTTGCTAAATCAATATTTAAATTTAGTCAAAAATAAATATTTAGCTGGGACCTAAAATTTTTTTGGAAAAAAAAATTCATTTGGAGCTAAATATTTAATTTGTAAACTTAATATGTAGCTCCAAATCAAATATTTGGTTAGTAAATAAGATATTTAGCTGAGAACTTTAGCATTTATAAATGTATGAATAACATGGTGAAAATGTGACTTTTGTAAATGAACTCCCGTTTTTTTTGATGGGCTAAATAATCCAAAATATTGCTGTTAAGTTTATAAACTGTTTGACTTTACAAATGGCACCCCACATAATCACACCCTAAAAAACAAGAATGCAGAGAACAACCTCCAATCTGCATTCTTGTTTTTTAGGGACTCCTCTACAACTGATCTGATTTTTTTTGTCTGTTAGAAAACTATCATAAACGACTACAGGGATTTTAATGAAACCTACAGAATTCACGTTCGTATGATTAACCAGATTAAATATGGCCGCCACAGCCAGTACACAACAAAATGACTCAAACGCAGTCAAATCTGCTGCATGGATCTCCATCTGGCGCCACAGAACTAAAGGGTGAACAGATCAGACAAGAGCTTTGTGAAATAGAAACTGGACAAATTTTAAATAAGAGTCTTAAACAATTTCCTATACTTCTATATTGAACTGGGGAAACTCAACAGTAGCAAAAACGTTTAAAAACCAGTGAATTTTACAGATAAGGAGCTGAAACTTTGCATCATGGTCTAATTCTACTACCATGTGGATAAAAGCACATTTACTTCCTCTCAGGCTGATTTGGGATGTATTTAATCAAAGTAGATAAACATCTTTGCATTTTCCTCAAACCGTGAAAAGCAAGTTTTTCAAATATCTCTTTTCTGAACAGGAAGTGACAAAACTGTTCAAAAATGAACCACGTGGAAAACACTGCACTGTGCTTAAGAATCTTCTAGAAAAAGGTTCTTTGCAGCAACCCCTCCCCCCTTCCTTCCTTCCTGCAGACCCTTTATCCTCAAATGACCTTTCACCCTAATCCATGCATGGAAGTTTCCCTGCTGCCTGCTGTTTGGCGTCTCTCAGATGCAGAGTGGATCATCCACCTGAAAGCTCCGGTTGTTTGCATTTGAAAATGAATTCCTGCATTGCCCGTTTGACCACCTGGAGGTCGTTCCCAGAAAGGGCCTTTAATGCAAAACAGAAAAACTGGCTCCAATTTAAATTGTTACTGTCTTTCCTGCAAAAACAACCTTGTTTACTGATTTAAAAAAAACTTCATTTTCACCATTTAAAAGCTGTTTTTTGCTTATATGAATGTTGATGGTAAACTTTTATTTATACAACCACATTAGACTCTAGTGTTTTCATTAATAACATACTATAATAATAATGTAAGAAAATGTGTGGCTCTTTAAAAAATGTAAATTTTGAACGTTAACATTTGTTTTTCTTTAAAAATCTTTTCAGAAGTTTTTGAACTTTATGCATGAAAGGGTTTATATTAGTTAGATCATTTTCATTCTAGATGTTCAAACAAAATCATCTCATGTTGAAAAATGGTGGAATTGTTGGTTTTTCTTTCTTTTTTTTCCAGCTAAATATCTGAATACTTCTGAGTTAAAAATGCTTATGAAACGTGTATGTGGAGTAACCAGGTAGGTAGGTTTTAGTAGTGTTGCAAATCTGCAACGCCTGCCTCCAGAGGGTTGCTCAAAGACAACACCCAGCAGCATTTTGTTTAAAACTGAGATGCATTTGGTCTAAAATGAACGTCTTCTATGTTTTTAATCCAGTTTGATATCAAAATACAGTTAGTATTTTGGCGTAGATAGCCCGAAAAGAAGGGGTTGAATTGATTCACAGTTGAAAGTGTCTCCCAGGCAGGATCTAACACGTACGTGTAAATGCTCCCTTTGCTTACCCTAAACTCCTCTTCCAGGTGTTTCTACAACACTCTGCTAAATGTTTTCTATTGGACGCATCTTTCTAGACCGTTGTGTGTGTAAATGTGCATCTGTATTAAAACTAGAGCAAAACCACGACCCTGAGAAACGAATGCAACCAAAATGATGTTTTTATGTCTGGTTTTTAGCTCACTTTTTCCTACTTTGATGAAACTAAACAGTTTCCTGTCATCCACTAAGAAACTTGGGAGTTTTTAACCCAGTTTGGGTCAAAATGAGTTTTGATAGAAGGACGACCTCTGAGTTAAACAATGCTCATGAAACACATATGTGGAGTAACCAGGTAGGTAACTGTTGCAAACCTGCAATGCCTGCCTCCAGAGGGTTAACCCAGGTGAGTATTTTGTGTTACTTTTTGCATCGCATCCCAGCATGTTGTGATCACATCGGCTCTTCAGGTTTCCTCCAGTTGCTTCTAGTCAGATCTGATCAGAATGGGAGGGGTGGGGGTGGGAGCTCTTACGTTTGCACTGGGCAGCTGTTACCAAGACCCGCCCTCCACGTGCTGCAACAGACACAAATAGATTCTAGATCTTTCCGTAGGCATGTTGGGGGCTTGTGGGTCTGGGGGCAGGGCGTTAGGGGGGTGGGACCAGCGTGTATAAAAGCTCTGCAGCATGTGAGTCAGGCATCAACTTGGAAGAACATTTTCTGAAAGACTTGAGAAGACTTCTTCTGCCCGACCACAGCAAGCATGGCTGAGAGAAATATTCCCTTCACCCTGGCTCGCACTCCCAGCTGGGATCCGCTCCGGGACTGGCACCACAGCAGCCGGATCTTTGACCAGATCTTCGGCATGCCGGCCCTGCTGGAGGACTTTCCCACGTTCCCCAGCTCCCGCTGGCCCGGCTACCTGAGGCCCTCTATCCTGGGCACTGACATCATGATGCCCCACAGCCACATGTACCCGGGACAGATGTTGGCCCAGCAGGCTCGTGCCCTGTCCAGGCAGATGGGCAGTGGCGTGTCAGAGATCAAGCAGACGCAGGACAGCTGGAAGGTGTCCCTTGACGTCAACCACTTCTCACCTGAGGAGCTGGTGGTGAAGATGAAGGATGGTGTTGTGGAGATCTCTGGTGAGTTTTCTCTCTTCTCTAGGTGTTTAAGTAACCTGCAAACATTCAGGATCTTTTATTCAGGATCCAGGGTTAACTGAGGTCATTGTCTCCAGATGAAAAGGACCCCTCCCCCTCTTCCTCACATGGGTGGGAGTGGGATTCTGGCTAGAAGCCAACAGATACCAGGCTCTAGTTTGTGAAGCAGCTTAGTTTTACTTTTTGTTTACATTTTTACTGGTGGCATGTGAGGCCTCCTCCCTCTCGGACTCGCCCTCGTGATCCCAGTTCTTCCAGTTTGCTGTGACTCCCCAGTGTCTGCAGCTTTAAAAGGACTGCTGGATCCGGTCCAGTTGACTGGACCTGGTCTGAGCACAGAGATAAACAAAGCGTGTGATTCAGTCTCACGGAATGGCACAAGAGATGAATGGCATCACTAACTGTTTATTAATTATTTTTTTAATAATTTCTGTTGTTTCCACAGGAAAGCACGAGGAGAGGAAGGATGAACACGGCTTCATTTCTAGGAGCTTCACCAGGAAATACACGTAAGCTTTTATTTAATTTTTTCAAAATCTGCAGATTTGTGCAAAATGCATGCAGTCAAATGTATTCTGTATATCTAAAGCTGAAGTTTGGAGTTCTGAAATGCCTTATCAGCCACCTAGTCAGTCATATCTGGTTTATTCAACTCCACAAGTCTGCTGCCACCTAGTGGCCACACCTCTGCTACTACAACAATGTGTAACACTGTCTCCTCCCCCCTCCTCCAGCCTCCCTCCTACCGCTACTTTCGAGAAGGTGACCTCCTCTCTCTCCCCTGAGGGGATTCTGACCGTGGAGGCTCCTCTGATGGCCATCGAGTCCACCGAAACCACGATCCCCGTCACCGTGGAGAAGAAACCCGCCGTGACCCAGAAGTAGATAGCAGCGCTATACACCCTGATGCCATCAACGCACAGCATGCATGCTTTTTGTTTTAATCCACAAACGTCTTCGAGGAGATGAATCTTGTTGTGGTTTTTTTTATTACTTTTTAATTAGCTTTTTCATTTGAAGTAAATGTTGATGTTGCTTCTCAGTGGTCATTATTAAAATCGTGTGTCCTCAGGTACCTGTTTGTCACTGAGCTGCTTTTGGAAATAAAATTAACAAAAAATATTCTTTTGTCTTTTTTTTCATGATGTGACACCAACATGGGTCTGTGTAGTTGAGCTACGTCTCAGAATGAATTTCTGTGGCTAAATTATCTTTTGGTCATCCATGCAAAAAGCGCATCACGAAAGTCCTGTTTACTTACCTGCACATAATTGTTGTTTGCTTTTTAAGCAAAATCTAATAAAATAACATGCAGCCAGCTAACAACTAAATAAATGAACTCAGTCAAATGATCAATTGGATTTTACTAAACGTCCCATTAGTGCATGTAAAGTGGGCGTGGCTTAAACTGAACTGACAACGGTCAATGATGCTCAGCTGCCGGAAAGAAGCCAGCCATGCTGGTTATTTTCATGTTGTTCTGCACCAGCTGATCATCTGCAGGATGGAACCTGTTTCCATCACTTCTTTCTCTCCTTCCATAGCATCATCCTTCAGGCTTTCGTGTTGCACGTCTGTCCGGAAATACACAGACCAACTCTGCTCCTGACCCCAAAGCTGCAGGGGGAAATCTATATATATAGACACCATGTCCTGAGCTTCCAGCGTGCTGTGTGGTCACAGGGAGCCGGCAGACAAACCGGCGGAATGTTCTTCCACGGCTTTTGGCCTGTAGTGACTAATAGGTCAGCTATAGTTGGATTGATTTCAGATTTAACTCTGGCAGCCAAAGCAGATGTCTATTAGCTGACCATTACGTTATAAGCACACAGTTCCTGAATGCTACTGACTCTGGACAAGGACACTCAGCGTTTCCTCCTCCATGAGTCACAGTTTCCCTCCACTTTAATGCAGGCCTGAATTATTCATGCCAACCCCATCAATCCAGGAACCAAAGCTAGAAAAGTGCTTCATGTGAAGAGCAGCTGGGTCCTGGTCTGCTGATCTCATGAGCGGGGAGGCGTTCACTAGCAAAAAACGTTAAAGTCACTCAAACTGAGAAAACACTGATTACGTGTCACCATGGTGATTCATTTTCTATTCAAGGACATAAATATTCATGTGCATAAAGGCAACAGAAGTCTGAAAGTGGTTTATTGATGTATCACACCAGACCCGCCCCAGTGCATGCTGGTCTGTTACCTGCTCACATATCTGGCTCTTATGGTCTCTAGCCGGCTCACGTCAGGCAAATTTAACAAACAGAATAGTTTTACAAAACCGGGTTCTGGTCATCCGTTTAAAAAAAAACAAAACAAAGGAAAACACAAACTATGATTATTTCAAAAGGTTGAGAAGGTAGTAATAGCACCTGTTGGAGTTTTGTGGATGAATCTGGGAATCTAAAAAGCAGCAGAAGATCCATTTCCCAACAGTGTCACGCACAAAAATTGTGGATTAGGAAATGTTTAAAACACACCTTTGTGCATGTTTTACAGACCTACTGGTAACTAAACTGGTTTCAGTCCTTCCTGGAGACCTCACATGCAGCAGCTGAGGGCCCCAGTGCATTCTGGGACATGTGGTTTCAGTGTCACTGCTAAATGAGTTCTCAACTATTATGTATTTATCCAGATCAGGGCTATCCAATTTAGGGCTTGAGGGCCGGTTTCCAGCACGTTTTGGTTTTAATTCTGCTTTAACACACCTGATTTTAATAAGTGATTAACAGGCTTCTGCAGAGCCTGATGAGCGGCTGCACAGGTGATTCAACCACTGAATCAAGTCTGTTGGACCAGAGAAACCACTCAAACATGCTGGATACCAGCCCTCGAAGCTCGGAATTGAATAGGCCTTGTCTAGATTGATCAGATGTAAAGGCACACTTGTCAGTTTTGGCTTGCCTTTAGCACCCCCTAGTGTCCATTATTCATTATCTGTGGTCAAATCGAAAGCAAAACCTCTCCTCGTTGTAGTTGTCTTTTTAACACCTTTATTTAACAGCTGAAACGTCTCACCTGCCTTTATTAGTGTCTACAGGAGCGGTTCATCACTAAATTAAACAAATCAGCTGTGCTCATGATCTAAAACATGCTGTTAGCAGACCGCAGCACCAGGCGTGTCAGCTAAATTTTTCTGCCAGTCTGAAGTTGCAAGTGCGATATTCTTGGGGGTCTGAGTGACATTTCATTAACTCTGTGAAGGGTCATTTTAGCAGTTGTCATTTACAAATATGAAAATGTATCCCTTTAATGTTTAATAATCTGCTTAGAAAAAAAAGTAGACCAAAGGGTCTCTGATTGTTTCAAGATGTCAGAAATCCTTTACAAATGAGCTGAAATCAGTTTTTATCCAAAAGGACCCACATGTCAGATTTTACCCTTGGATGCACTACAAGTGCAACCTTTTTACATCTAGGTCCTCAGAGATGTAGAAAGCGTTCGTCTCCTCCGCTGCAGCTCATTGCAAATTGCCCTTTCCCTGATTAGTGCTCACTTGCTGCGCCCAATTAGTGCCTCCCCTCTCTGGGGGCGGGGTTATTTACTGATATGTCTGATGTCCCCAGCAGCATTATTAGATTAATGTGGTAGGGTTCAGAGGGATAAACTGTTCCACATAAACCTTGATTAAACAGATATATTAAATACTCAAAAGTCTTTTTTAATGTGATTTTTTGTTTAACTGAAGAAAAAGCTGCACACTGTTAATGTTTCACACACTGTCGGCCTTCGTTTTCAGCCTGTTTGCCACAAACCTTCGCTGAATTCCTCAGAGGGTTTTCCTCCACAGGCTCCATGATCTTCCAGCCTGCTGCTGTGTTCTCCGTCTCCATGGCAACAGCAGTTCCCTCCTCTTCACCAAGTCCTTCCATTAAGATGCAGTAAAACCACATCTCTACCAGTGTGCTAACGCTGGAATGAAACGCTACAATTTGCTTACCAGGTTGATCAAGTTGTTGCATTTTTATTTCAAACTCATATCCTGATACTTTATTTTATAAACCGGAGGATTGTTTTCTTCCTAAATTCTACAAATCGTGTAACCGTTCTCTTTCATCTGCTGGTTTTATGGTCCGTCTGAAGGAAACGACACCTGAGATTAGAGCAGTAGAGGGATTTGGGTTTTCCTTCCTTGGAGGAAAGGGAGAGCAGCAAAAACCGCCAACCAGGAACCTGAAGCTAAAAATTCCCACAGGATCACCAGAGTGGGACTAATGAGTCTGGATTTCAGCAGGTTGGGTCAGAATTTAGTGTCTTTAACATTAAGCATATCCTGCCTGTGTGGTGACTTATGGTGGGAAGATGTTCTTGTCCCTTTTTGGACCCATTAGTCCCACCTGAGCCTGGTTTTAACTCTACAGCCTGCCTGAGTATTGTTGCTGACCAAGTCCATCCCTTTATGACCACATGGACCCATCTTCTGATAGTTACTTCCAGCAGGATAACACAGCATGTCACAAAGCTCAGATCATCTCTAAAGGGTTTGTAGAAGATGACCGTGAGTTCACTGGACTCTAGCGGCCTCCATGTATCTCAGTCCAGTCCAGAACCTTTAGGATGTGGTGGGACAGGAGGTTCTGATCTGGTGCTGTCATGTCAGTTTGTACCAGAACCTCTGAGAGATGTTTCCAACACCTTGATTTAATGTGGTTCTGAAGACAAAAGAAGTCTAGTAAGGTGTAGAAGCTGGTGAGTGTTTTTGGATGTACAATTTGTTGATTTGTAGTAAATAAACGAGGACTGCCTGGCTGCAAATCCATTTACTTCTGGGATAAATTAAGCTAAACTATTTTTTTAACGTGTGCCTAAAAAAATCTTGGCAACAAAGATTAGAGACTAGAAACAACCGTTTTCTGGTCGAGAATAAGTGATTCCCTTCTCTTGAACAGAATCATGCATGTTCGACGTTAACATTTAATTCTGCTGAAATTGAAATCTGACTAAATCCAATTAGTTGTAATAATCTGCCAGTCAGGTATTCATTGCAAAGTAATTTTCCAACCCTAAGTGAGATTTAGTCTGTGGTAAAAAGCTTTTTGTGACCAGCAGTCACTCTCCTAATCTGGCAGTATTCCATTTGCTTTAGCTTAGCATAAAAAATGTAAGTGAATGGTAACAGTTAGCATTTTGTGAGAGAAAGGCTTTAAAATTACTCAATAATCCCAATTCTTCTTTGTGACCCCATTAATCATATTTAAATAATATCAAAAGAAAATAAGCAACGCAAAGGAATTACAGCCGATTTAGAGTAGGGACTACATTAGAACGAAGTACCGGTGTAAGCCACCACTTCAAGGCACGACACGATGCAGCGACCCCAAAACACACCTCTGCTACTTTTAGTGCAATTTGCTATGCTGTTCCTTCAAAACACTGTACCTAGAAGCCTAGTAGCTAAAGATTAGGGACAGCAGTAGCTCAGGAGGTAGAGCGGGTTGTCCAGTTATCGGAAGGTTGCAGGTTCGATCCTGGCACTGGCCAAAGAATGCTGCTGTTGTGTCCTTGGGCACTAAACCCACCTTGCCTGCTGGTGGTGATCAGAGGGACCACGCCAGCGCTCGGCAGCCTCGCCTCCGTCAGTGCGCCCCAGGGCAGCTGTGGCTACATCGTAGCTCATCACCACCAGCGTGAGAATGTGTGAAGGCGTTATACAAATACAGGCCGTTTACCAGTATAGTGTTTAAAAAGTAGGTGCCATTTTGAATTTGAATGATTGAAATGCTAGTAGTTACCACTCACTTACACTGTTTATGCTAAGCTAACGCTAATGGAATACTGCCAGATTAGAAGGATGACTGGGCGGGTTACAGGATGTTTTCAGCCACTGATCTAACTCTGGGGAATACGGCAACAGAGCTGACTATTTTTCACTTATTAAATAATCCCAAGTAAAATCATTAAAAGCCAGATCTCACGTTTAGTCCCCCTCACCAATAAATGCATGTCACCATAGCGATGTCCATAACAGATCGATTTATTGTTGACAATCACTGTTTTGGTATAGCGTACTTTAGCCAATGAGTAAAGAAAACACAGATTAAAAGAAGAGCTAGCTAACAATAGCAACAAAATAAATAGAAATAATCTGATTAAGGTCATGTTCATATGAATACATAACATCTACTGTATAAGTTAATAAATCGAAGCTACGGTATAAATACATCACCAGCATGCACAATATTGTATTTCTGGAGAATATTGGAGCATCATCGGACACCGAGAAGAGACGGTTTAGTAGGCGAGTGCGTTCCAAACAAATCCACAAACCTTAGATCTGCTCGTACAGCTCCTGCTTTAACACTGCATGTGCTCACTTCACAAACTGGGTTTGTTATTCTGGTTTGTGGTGGTTTCACACCTGTCGGCTGGAGCTGCGTGACCTGGACCTCGACCGGGTTCCCCTCCAACACAAGAGGAGCCGATAGAAGGTGTCACAGTGAAGACAACATCGACAATAGGAATTAGGCGTCCAAAAACAGTTAATTTATTCAAGAAAGCACATCAGCACATGAGAGGGACAAGCTGCACTAAGTTTACTGTGTGTTTGCATTTTTAGTTACAGTATGACTGACCGTGTGACGAACACACACCTGACACAGAGCAAACAAAAACCTGTTCGCCTTCTCCTCGACCACAGATGGAACCTGCTCTCCGCTCAACGACCGTACAGGCTGCCGCGCAACTAAAGATGTCGGTACGTTTAGTTAACTCGACGAGTCTGGCACCTACGAAACCCGCCGCCGTCGTCGTCGTCTCTGGGACCAGTCTGCACTCCCTCTAAGCAAGGCCGTGACATTCAGCGTTAGGCTAATTTTCTCGCTGCTCAAGCACCAAAACGGACTTTCCGAACGCTCCTCCACCTTAAGTAGGTAAAGACAGCTCTGCTTCATTTGCGCTGCGAGGCCAGTCTCGCTGTAAAGGAGTCACGACCCTAAAATCCAGACTGGAACCAACAACGTTCGCCTTGCTGCTAAAGCTGTGGCAAATGCCGCAGAGGCCATCAAAGAGAGGGTTTCATTCTTGAATGCTGTTTTTTTTTAAATCGTAGCTTGTTTCTCAAACTAAACGCGTCTTCCCTCTTAGGTTTCTCACTTTTTTTTTTACTTTTAATTTGTGGAAAAATAAAGAACAGCAGCTGCATCGGAATCGTCGGCTAAACTTAAGAGCCAACGTTCCATCGCCCCCACCCAACCCCTCCCCATTTAATTTGTTTTTAAATTAAGAATTTTAAACAATTATTGTTTTCGTCATCGTTTGTGAGCGCGCGTGTTGCGTTTTGGCAGAATGAGGTGTCAGACTCTTAGTTGTTGCCCTCGCCTCCCTCATCGTCCTGCTGGTCGCTTGTCCACAGCGTCAAGTTGTCTCGTAGCAGCTGCATGATGAGAGTGGAGTCTTTGTAGGAGTCCTCGTTGAGGGTGTCCAGCTCAGCGATGGCGTCATCGAAGGCGGTCTTTGCCAGGTGGCACGCCTGCTCGGGGGCGTTCTGGATTTCATAGTAGAAGACGGAGTAGTTGAGGGCCAGGCCCAGGCGGATGGGGTGGGTGGGCTGCATGTGCTCCTTGCTGATCTCGTGGGCCTCACTGTACGACTTCTCGGAGGACTCCACCACAGAGGCCCTCTTCTCCCCTGTGGCCACCTCAGCCAGGTAGCGGTAGTAGTCGCCCTTCATCTTCAGGTAGAACACCTTGCTCTCGTGCTGCGTCTCGTTGCAGTTCTTGATCAGGAAGTTGTCCAGGAGGTTGAGCACGTCCTGGCACACAGACTCCAGCTCCTTCTCGATCTTTTCCCGGTAGGCCCGTACCATCTCGATCTTCTTCTCGTTGCCATCGGCCGATGTCTTCTGCTCAATGCTGGAGATCACCCGCCAGGAGGAACGCCTCGCCCCGACCACATTCTTATAGGCCACAGAGAGGAGGTTCCTCTCCTCGTTGGAGAGCGCTTCATTCAGCTCTGTGACCTGAAAAGGGGAAGACGAGGAGATGGGCATTAAACTTTGTCTCGCTTACGAGAAAACTAGTCTCAAGTCACATTTCAAAACATTGGCAATTCTGAAGTGTGAAAATGGGTCTTCAGGTCTCCCCAATTACCCATCAGTCCCATTTGTCTGAACTTAGGTCCATCAGGAAGCTGGCTACAGCAGATAAAATTGTAGTTTTTTATTATATTTTCACCAGAACATGATTCAGTACAGTTTCACTTTGCAATATCCGCTTTTTAAAATATCAAAACTTAGGTTAAAATATCAAATTATTGCTAATAAAGTTCTGGAAAACTTCAGTAAGACGGATCAAATAGGACTCTGCACCCAAGACAACAGCTCCTACATTTAGAGAAGAAACTCCTGCCTCGGGCACGATGACATCATCCTCTGAGGCAAATTCTGATTGGCTGTCAGCAGCTCTAAAAGCTGGTTTTGTTTTGTCTGGCTTTTGTCTGGCTGGAGGACCTAACCCCCCATCCCCCAATGGGGCAATGCAGCAGAGGTATCTTCACAGACCATTTCTGAGTCTAAAGCCTAGTGTCATCCTTTTTAGCTCGCAATTTAGCTTTACACACAGCAGAGCGGGCGGCTCCAGCTGGTCACGTGAAATGGTGCAGAATTAACCAAAGTTACGAAGCTTTTTTCTTCAATTATCTGTGTTTGACAGAGAAAACTGAAGCATTTATTCTTTTAACATAAACATTTGAGAAAACATCTGAAATCTGACTTATTTTGGAGAAAGAGAACCAGTTAGGGCTCATTAGGCTCAGTTCTGTGTGAACAGTTTTAAAGTTACAGGAAAAACTTCCCTCAGTCATTAGAGGAAACATTTAGAGAATTGATCAAGCTAATCGAATAATTTACCGAAAACAGCAGCTGCTGTTACCATTGGTCGCACAGACTGTTGCTGCAAACGTGCGACTAAGCACGCTGTCACCAGACGAACACGTACGTCTACAACCATCCGTGATTCTGTGCACTTTGTGATACATAAAGCAGCAGCAGTAGCGCTGAATACTGAAGCTGTAAAAGGAAGGGAGCGGGAGGGCAAAGAGCATGCTGTGATGCAATCTCCAGTTTCCATAGCAACAGTATAATCTGCTTTTGTCTATCTCCGTTGGACACGCTGGCAGAAAGCTGCCCATGGAACATGGCTGATGATGAGCGGTTTGAAGACGAAACCATCGTCAGCATTTTCCCTCCTCCTTGCTGCCTCCTAGTGGCATGGAGGATGTGTGAAGATGGTCACCCAAAAGTCCAGATGATGGTGTCAAAAAGTGGGTTAAAAAATTATCTAATAGCAGGATAAATGTTCATTTTCTCAGAATAAAAGTATTCCTTGCAACTCTAAACTTAAACGTAAAAATTTAGGCAGAAAAAATATATAAATGTACAGAAACAGGACCAGAAGAAAAGTGCTAGTTGCTGCCAAAAAAACAAATAAATGTGGAAATTAATGAGGACTAAAATGTAACAAATAAATGTGCAAATATGTGAGGAAATAAAGAAAATTAAAAGGCTTATATTTTTGGAAATGAATATATGACATTGTGTATTTGTCTTTAATGAAATATACAATTTTCCAGTGTAAATAAAGTAGAAGGAAAAAGCCATTTTTTCTTCATTTCCACATTTATTCTCAACATTTTGGTTTATTATTTATTCTTTTTTTATTCATCGATTTTGGCAGAAAGAGTACTCCATAACTGTGCAACTGCAAAATTATTATAAATGTTTTGCTTTTAAATACATGTTCATGCCACAAAGGTAAGAGGAAACCTTCCAAACATTAGCTTTGGATACTAACGTGCCAATCAGAAACTGTGCTCCATCGTGTGTTTAGGTTACCCATAAATTATCCAGGTGCCTGATTGATGCTTTTCTTGGTTGTAGTTCATAAACATGACATCACCAGTTACCAGGTTGTGGTTTAATTATAACTGTATAATCATTTAGACCCACTCACAAAACTCAAGGGCCCAGAATTACTTGTAAGGTTATAAAAAGGTGAAAATTAAACATTTTCTTTCATGCCATGGTTTAACAATTAGGAAGAAAAATCTGCATTTGTTTTAGCCATTTTAAAAAATATATATACATACAGTGAGGCAAAAAAGTATTTAGTCAGCCACCGATTGTGCAAGTTCTCCCACTTAAAATGATGACAGAGGTCAGTAATTTACATCATGGGTACACTTCAACTGTGAGAGACAGAATGTGAAAAAAAAATCCATGAATTCACATGGCAGGATTTTTAAAGAATTTATTTGTAAATCAGGGTGGAAAATAAGTATTTGGGCAATAACAAAAATTCAACTCAATACTTTGTAACATAACCTTTGTTGGCAATAACAGAGGTCAAACGATTACTATAGGTCTTCACCAGGTTTGCACACACAGTAGCTGGTATTTTGGCCCATTCCTCCATGCAGATCTTCTCGAGCAGTGATGTTTTGGGGCTGTCGCCGAGCAACACGGACTTTCAACTCCCTCCACAGATTTTCTATGGGGTTGAGGTCTGGAGACTGGCTAGGCCACTCCAGGACTTTCAAATGCTTCTTACGGAGCCACTCCTTTGTTGCCCGGGCGGTGTGTTTGGGATCATTGTCGTGTTGGAAGACCCAGCCACGTTTCATCTTCAAAGCTCTCACTGACAGAAGGAGGTTTTGGCTCAGAATCTCACGATACATGGCCCCATTCATTCTTTCCTTAACACGGATCAGTCGTCCTGTCCCCTTAGCAGAAAAACAGCCCCAAAGCATGATGTTCCCACCCCCATGCTTCACAGTAGGTATGGCGTTCTTGGGATGCACCTCGGTATTCTTCTTCCTCCAAACACGACGAGTTGAGTTTATACCAAAAAGTTCTACTTTGGTTTCATCTGACCACATGACATTCTCCCAATCCTCTGCTGTATCATCCATGTGCTCTCTGGCAAACTTCAGAAGGGCCTGGACATGCACTGGCTTCAGCAGCGGAACACGTCTGGCACTGCAGGATTTGATTCCCTGCCGTTGTAGTGTGTTACTGATGGTGACCTTTGTTACTGTGGTCCCAGCTCTCTGCAGGTCATTCACCAGGTCCCCCCGTGTGGTTCTGGGATTCTTGCTCACCGTTCTCATGATCATTTTGACCCCACGGGATGAGATCTTGCGTGGAGCCCCAGATCGAGGGAGATTATCAGTGGTCTTGTATGTCTTCCATTTTCTGATAATTGCTCCCACAGTTGATTTTTTCACACCAAGCTACTTGCCTATTGTAGATGCACTCTTCCCAGTCTGGTGCAGGTCTACAATTCTTTTCCTGGTGTCCTTCGAAAGCTCTTTGGTCTTGGCCATAGTGGAGTTTGGAGTCTGACTGTTTGAGGCTGTGGACAGGTGTCTTTTATACAGATAATGAGTTCAAACAGGTGCTATTAATACAGGTAACGAGTGGAGGACAGAAAAGCTTCTTAAAGAAGACGTTACAGGTCTGTGAGAACCAGAGATTTTCCTTGTCTGAAGTGACCAAATACTTATTTTCCACCCTGATTTACAAATAAATTTTTTAAAAATCCTGCCATGTGAATTCATGGACTTTTTTTCACATTCTGTCTCTCACAGTTGAAGTGTACCTATGATGTAAATTACTGACCTCTGTCATCATTTTAAGTGGGAGAACTTGCACAATCGATGGCTGACTAAATACTTTTTTGCCCCACTGTATTAAAAATACTCTTGATTCTTATATTTTCCTGAAGGCTACAAATATTTACATTGGTCATCCTGATTTATTCCACCAGCTAAACAATTTCTACTTTCCTCAAGTAGAATAAACAATCCAGACGTGACATGATAGAGATCTGGAGGTTTGTGCTCGTTCAGCTAAGGCGGCTTCTTTTCAGGACGTTGTAATAAAATAAAAAAAGTCATAAATGAGATGACCTCTGAACTGTGAGTATGGAGTAATAAAGAGACACTAGTCGTACAACAATCCCTCTAAGGAGAGAGGCCTGTCCACCCCTTCCTATTAGATACTCCTGTAGCTCAGCCTCGACACTCTCCACCTCTGACCATTAGAGTAAATTAAGATGTGACCAACAGCGAATGCAGCCAGCTAGAGACGGTCAGAGCCAGAGGAACAGAGGTAAAAAAAACAAGATCCAAACAAATCCTCTGAACAAACATGGCTGTCTTTGTTTCAGGATACTGAGCAGAGGGCCCCGACGGAAGCTGGGGGGGGGGGACGGACAATAGAGCTCTGTCTGCTTGTGAAACTCATCAATCGTGCCTGCTCTGTGGTGACTCATCCTTGCACTAGGCGGTCAAACTTCCAAACATCTCCATGATAAAACAAGAACAGGACTACCAGGGTGATCAATAACAAATCTCATCATGGGGGTTCCCATCAGAGTCCTGTAGGGTCAAAAAGGGAGACCGCCTAATATTTCACCTAAATACTTCAGTATCTACATACTAAAAGGTTTGCCACAGTCCCACACCTCCTTGTTCTCTCTCCCTCTCCTTGTTCATTTGCTCTGGCACCCTCTTCTTTACTAACCTGATGTGACAACACCCCCTTTCAACTATGAGCACAAAGGCGCCATGGACAATCTGACGTCACTCGTGGCGTGAATAGGGTTAGCCAGATCAGCCACAAAGAGCTTGGCGGTGAGAAGAGGGTCTCCCAGCTCTTTGTTGCTATGATACCACCATGCAGCAGCAACTTCTCCTATGATTAGGTTGGTGTCAAACTGTAGGATTGTTACTGGATTAGTGTGGAGGAAGGTCGGCCATTTTGTTTTTACATTAAGCTGTGAGATGCCATCAAGCTAGAGAGCAGGAGGCTGCAATGAAATTAAAGGTGAATTAACTGTCACTATTTTATTAAGAGGAAAACCATCGAACATTAGTAGAAAGGGCCGTTCCAATCTGCTGAAATGTTTAACGCCCAAAGGCTAATGCGTAAACGTGGACTGTGCTGCTTCTGCACAAGTA